GAGGTCGTCCCGACCCCGAGCGGCGGCGGCGGCCGGGTCCTCCTCGTCTGCCACCACGCCATCGTCGAGGTCGATGGCGACGGGGCCGTGCGGCGGAGTTGGGGGGTGGTCGCCACACAACCGCCTGACGGCCTGCTGCGCGCGCGACGCCGTCCTCCTCGCGGGGACGGAGGAGGGCGACGTGGTGGGGTGGGACCTCCGCCGGCGCGAACCCCGCGCCACCGCCGCCGACGCATGGCGCGCGAACCTCACGGAGGTGGTGCCGAACGGCGTCAGGGTCGCCATCACCGGGGTCTACGCGCCGCACGCCATGGCCTTTCTGACCTGCGCCCTCGACGGCTCCGTTGTCTACTGGAGCCGCAAGACGGAGGGTGAGGCGTGGGAAGGGAGGGTTCTATCCCCCACACCAGGCGTCCACGCACCCGCCCGGGGTCGCGATGGGCATAACGAGGTGGCGGTGGGGAATAGGGATTTCGCGCCGAGCGGGTCGGGGTGTGTGGCAATGGCTGGGGATGGCAATCTCGCCGCGGTGGTACGCGAGCTGGGAGAACTGGAGGTGTATTGGTGCCCATAGGGAAGTCAAAGAATACCGATGGTACCTGGGGGTTCGACCGAGCAGGCGGAATAACTTTAGAAGCCCAGAAATGAGCACGATAGAGGGACGGTTGTTACGAACGCATGGGATAGTAACCTAGAGAAGGGAAGAGTGCGGCATCTAAACGTTGAATGTTGGCGAGTAATTCTACGAAGTGGTTCCCCATGCTAGGGGACCCCTCTCCCATGCATGGGTCCCATTGAGAAAATGGGAGAAAGTTTGTACTCTGCATTTTACTCGCTTTGTGGTGTGGTTGATCTAATTTTATATTTCGGTGTGAAAAAAAAAGAAGACAATACCTGTAAAAGGAAAGTAAATCCGTGTGCACAGTTTCCGCGTCCTCATTCAAATCATGCAACGTGGGATAGCTTCATCATGGTTGGGGTTTATTTGCAGATATTAAATTTCCCCTTTGTCTAACCACGAGGTTGTTGTGGTTGTTGTTGTTCTTGTTCTTGGATAGGAAAGACACGCATACATCACAATAAAAGATAGAATACCTACACACTCATATAATTGTTTACGCAAAAATATATTCATGCCTTCATTGACAGACATGCAGCAGCATTTTTGGTCATGTGGACCCTCAAACTATAATGCCAATAAGATTGTTGGCGAAGACGAGGCCGTACCACAATGGGATGACTCGATTCCTCCACAAGTTGGCAACACATTGTACAGTATTTACCCCGCTCAGCAACCCTTCACCCAACCCCCCGGCGACGTTCCTGAGGGGAGTTCTCAGGGTTTAGACACGAGCTACGGGACCCACAATCCCACCGAGGCCGCTTCGGGAAGACCCGTGAAGTGGGATCCGACTGTCCTCGACAACGAGGAAGAGAACGAAGAAGGGCATGCGGGGCGGTGGTGGGATCGCCCCGACGGACTGCACCTCAGCGCATTCGCCGTGGGGAGCCTCAAGCCGGACGCGCGGTCGCTTCTCAGCGGTGCGAACCCGGTCGTCATGGCGTTTCTCCAGCGTCGCCAGCAGGAGATTAGCAGGGAGCCCACTTCCCCGCGAACCCTCCGGCACCGAGGCATCGACGGGGTCCTCGCGCCGGTGCCGCTCGCACTGACGTGGTACCCCGCGGCGGAGTGTGGCACCCCTCCCCCACGCGGCCACGAGGCGCCCCCTGTGGCGGCTACCCGAAAAAGAGGCCGTCCGTCGCCCGACGAGGAGGACCTTCCGTATCGGAGCCCACTCAAGAGGACGCCGGCGCGGGTAGGGGGCTGTACAGAGGATGCGGGGCACGAAACCGCGGCGTCATCGGGGCCTGGTATGCCTCCACCGCAGTCGCTCCCCATCGGAGGGGGTGCTGCGAAAGACGAAGCCCAGTGGGATCGTGCGAGGATTGCGACCAAGCGACAACGGGAAGAAAACGTCTTTGAGTACGTTACCCGCGGCCCTCGCTTTAACTGAGCATGGAGCAGATAACAAAAAGGATCTAAATGCTAAATATACATGCGTGCATACAAGAAAAAATGATAGTTGGTTCCTATTTATTTTCACATTATTCAACAAATACTATGTGGGTTTGCTTTGATAGAATAAATAATATTCACCATTTCTTTGTGCCCTTCCCATTTCCTGCTTATTTGGCGACCTGTTTTTTAGTTCTCTTTGTGTGATAAACTCTCACAGAGCAGATGGCACATAGCGTTGTGTTGAAATCGCCCTTAACGACTACGATTTTGAAAAACGCAGTTGAATCGGATTCGTAAAAAAGTAGTACCCTTTTGATTAGAAAACGAAGACTGTGTCCTTCCAACCTAATAGGAAACGAACTGTTTTATTATGTAGGCTGGTACACATTTTCCCTCTTCCCCCACCCCACCCCCCTCAACATTCTGTACAAGCTCTTTCGCGACCTTACGAAAGTGTCACACTGCATACTAAGGGGGTAGGAAAACTAGAAAGGAAATAACATAAGCCTACTTACCATCCCTCCAGTTAGTTTGGCCTCCCCCACTCCACCCTCTCTCCTGAATACACATACCTGATCCCTATTGGGGCTCCTCTTCACAGACAATGAGTACGCATGTGCTGCGTGGTAATCTAGAACATGAGGAACAAAATCACCTGCTCGATCAATTGCATGATTCTGTTATGAACACCAAACACTATGCAGTGGAGATCGGCACCACCCTTCAGGAGCACGATGCGATACTGGATCAGCTACATGGTGATATATCCAACACCACTGACGTCAGTCGACGCCAAAACCAGCGAGTCGTGCAACTGCTCCGGGAGAGTAAGAACCGTGGGTTCTACGCTGTAGTGCTGGTGTTGGTTGTCATTATAATATTTCTGATTATCATTTAACTGTAGAACAAATAAAAATCTTCCCCCAACCCTCACTAATATAGTATGTGCTGAGTCTAAATAGACAAAAAAATGTGTCACAGTCAATGAAAAGATATTAGGTTGGTTCTATCTATTAGGTGGTTGCTTTTCCTGAATTTAGTATCTTTTACACACAAGGGAGACAGGGCTGGGAATGAGATGTGAATGTGTAATTTGGATTCTTGTATGCCGTAGTGACTACATCTAAGTCAAGTATCGTAAAAGTAACCAAAAATGAAAACTATTTTGCTTCATTCTTATTGAATAATCTAGAATATCTGTAAGAGTGATATGGAAACGAAATCTTTGCCGACTCTGACAGTCATTCATGTGGGCCTCCTTTCTCTTTGTTCCTGCTCTTTTTACCATGGATTTTGCTTTGCTGCTTCACACGCACACACCTCTATCTGTCAGTGTCTATAAGTTGGAAGTAACCGCGTGTAACCTTTTGAAATACAAACAACTTTTTTATTTATTTTTCAGCAAAAATGATGCGGCATACGTTCCGAAGACTAGTTGAGTTTATACCGGTCTTTATGCCCGCCCTATCGCCCTCTATGGAATCGGGTACCATCGTCGAATGGAAGAAGAAAATTGGGGATAGTGTCGATGAAAACGAGCTCCTCTGCACTGTGCAAACCGACAAGGCGGTCGTTGACTACACCAACCCCTTCGACGCGGGCTACCTTGCTAAGATTTACTGCCAAAATGGCGAATCCGCCGATGTCTCAAAGACGATCGCGTTGATGGTGACGGATGCCAACGATATCGCAAAGGCGAATGAATACAAGCCCGAAGGCACCGAAGATGCTTCGCCTGCACCCGCATCGACATCTGCACCGGCTGCAGGGAACGACGCCGCTTCCGCACCACCGGTTGGCACCACCACTACCGAGCTGCCGGAGGACGTGGAGTGCCAGACGATCTTTATGCCCGCCCTATCGCCCTCTATGGAATCGGGTACCATCGTCGAATGGAAGAAGAAAATTGGGGATAGTGTCGATGAAAACGAGCTCCTCTGCACTGTGCAAACCGACAAGGCGGTCGTTGACTACACCAACCCCTTCGACGCGGGCTACCTTGCTAAGATTTACTGCCAAAATGGCGAATCCGCCGATGTCTCAAAGACGATCGCGTTGATGGTGACGAATGCCGACGATATCCCAAAGGTAGCGAATTACAACCCAGGTAATGCCACCAGCGCGCCAAACGAGGCAGCCCCCACCCCAGCAAAGGAGGAGGCAACTACCAAAAGCGCCGTTGTCGCCCCACAGCGGTACGGCGGCTCGCTGAAGGAGGCGATTCTCGCAAGCGGCCCCAGCGTCGTGCGCCTCGCTGCCGGCCTCCCGGAGCATGTTCTTGAGTCGATCGTTCCCTCTGGCAAGGACGGGCGCTACGCCAAGAGTGACTTCATTGGCCAGCCCGGGTTTAACTACGAGGATGTCGTGGCCGCCACGGCACCGCCCCCACCGCGGAGCGTCGACACCACCACCGTGGCGGCCCAAGCTCAGGCCCCGTTGGCGGACATCTACGACCTCGTGCTGGAGGCCGGCCCGATCTTGAAGTCGGTGGATGACACGAAGCTCCTGCAGCAGCTCCTGTCCACGATGTCGGTGCCGAAGCCCAAGAAAGCTAGTCCGTAAATGCGTTAAACAATGATGTGTGTAAGGGAGGCACAAGATTTTAAAGAAAAAAGTGAAGTTGGATATAAGATAAGGAGAGTCGAGAAATGCATGGGACACATAAATGGAATTAATGAAGACTATGAACAGGTTGTATTGAAAAGCGACACGAAGTGATAAGGATAATCAACTTCAGGGGCTTGATGTTGATTATGTATCTTTTCAAGAGTTTAAAAAGCAAATAAATTTTGTGAAGGAAAATAAAGTAGGAAAAAAAGGCCGTGTGAAAGGGTATCTTTACTTTAAAAGAGGTAATAGATCTTTGAGTCTAGTTTCGAATCGTCATAGTACGTGAGGCGGTGGCTTATTTTGTGTGGCTAACCCGCAGGGAGACCCTCAAGCATATTAAGTAGCGGATAGTGCGATGTAGGAGGCTCTGGGTTCAATGCGTCCTAACTTTATTTTCTTGTTTGGGAGGCAATGAATTAAAATTATTTTCGATATCATCTTTTGTGCTTTATATTGGATCTATTGAGCCATAAAATTCAGCAAAAAGAATACAACATATGATTTAGTTGAAAAATGTGGGTGTGAATCGATGCCCCCTGAGCTTAACGAAATATAAACGTTCGAGTCCTTGTTTAGATACGACAGCAAAATGCAAAAATTTTAATTTGTTAGTTATACATGACATCATGAATATTTGAATTTAACGTTGGCTGTAAATCGAAATGATTTAAAGGATTGGAAAAATTTGAATCCTATAAGGAGTGTTTCTACCATCACCATAGCCGCATCTAATCTGTGTTTTTGTGTGCAATTCTTTCTCTTTCCTTTTTTTTTCTTGGAACATTAAAAATGGACCGACAAACGGATGGAGGCTGCTTTAGTGAAACAAGATTTTTAAAAAGTAACAGTGCGTGGTATTATGGCCAACATCGAGGAAAAGATTTGTCGTCAAGTTGAGTTCTACTTCAGCGACGTCAACATTGTAAAGGATGTTTTTTTGAAGTCCAAAATTGCCGAAGATGCCGATGGCTTCGTACCGTTAGGTGTGCTCATGACCTTCAATCGTGTCAACGCGCTAACTAAAGATATCAAGCAACTCGCGGAGGCCTTGAAGGCAAGTGAAAAGCTTGTAGTCAGCGAAGACTGCCTTTCCGTACGGCGCAAAGATCCCCTGCCGGAATCTATTCAGACAGACAAACAAACCGTCTACGTGAAACCCGTCCCACCGGCATCTACATTGGAAGATCTCACTGCGTTCTTTGGCAAGTACGGTACCGTGCTGGCGGTGTGGCGTCGCTATCTACAGCGCGGGAGTGACAAGAGTGCATCAGCTGAAAGCCGCCTAAAGCCCTCAGTGTTTGTAGTCTTCAACAGCAAGGAGGAAGCAGAAGCATTCCAGGCCGCACCGCCGGAGATGAACGGCGTGCAGCTAACCGCAAAGATGAAGCTTGTCTACTTGGAAGAAAAAGCCGCCCTGCTGGGCGGTAAGGGCCGAAAGAAAGACACTTCTGAGTCGTCGCCGAATCGTGGCACCAAACCAGCTGCTCGAACCACTCCAGCAATGCCCACCGACAGTAGCTACCGCATCAGTGGCTGCGGAGATATTAAAAACTTTTCGGATGTTAAGGGTTTATGGCCAGCGGAGGATCAGAAAGGTGTGCGTTACGTCTTCACACCCCAAAGCGACGAAGCCGTCATCATCTTCCAGGACTCGGAGACCGCAGCGAAGATGGTAGAATCCGTGAACCAGCGGGCAGCCACACTCAACGGTGTACAGCCAAAAATAACTAAGGTCGAAGGCGAGGACGAGAAGAAGCTCATCGAAGATGTGGAAAAGGAGATTGCCGATCGTGCATCGCTGCACGCGGCCTCTCGCGGACGTGGCCGCGGGCGAGGCCACGGGAAGCGCATGCGCGATTAGATGAAATAGACCACTGCGTGCCTAGACATGTTTCTTTTTTTATCATTTATATACGTTAAAATAGGAAACACAATTAAAGCATTTAAGAAAGAGTAATATGGAACTATGACCGATAAGCTAATGCACATGTTGTTATCTATTGGTCCGTATTTCCAAATTTAAATATAAACCCCTATAGAAAAGTATACTGCATTTCGCGCGTATCTGGAAGTAGGTTTTAAAAAGTGATACTTAAAAAAAGTGTTGATAAAACTTAGTTTCTCGCGTATATGAATAACGCAACACATGGATGGCTTCTACACGCCTATTGATGAATCATTATTTCACCTACACACAAAATGTGTCGTTAAAAGTAGTAGAATTAAGAATCAACGCATAGGTAATTATAGCCAAAAGATAAAAATGGAGAAGCTACCGCAGAAATCTCACGACACACCATCCCTCCCTGTTTCCAAGGATGTCAGCCCAATTCATAATCACCAGCGCTATGTGAATTATATGGATATTAAGCTGCACGGGATTATGGAAATACCGCCGGAGTGGTGGGAATCTGGCACATCGGACGCCGAAAACACAAAGGCCGCCAACGCTAATGCTGCCGTGAGTGGGTCAACACTGCAGAACCTTTTCCGTTACGTAGTTTCGTTGGAGCTTCCTGCATTAACTCCAACAAAAAAAGATAATTCAGAATCTGCAGATGACTCGGGAAGGGAAGGTGCGCAAGGAATTCTTGCGGAATGCACATCTCTAGCAGTGGAAACACTAGAGATCACAAACGGTCGACTTCTACAGCTTCTTCCTGCATATGTGGAGTACATCGACGCGGTCGGGACGCATGAGCAATCCGTTGCAGCCTGGGATCCGCTTTCATGCTCAGAGGATCCGATGGAAAGCGTCGACGCACAGGCGGGCGCCAACAGTGAGGTTCCGAAGCCCGCGAGCCTCCTCCTCGGTGACGAGTGCGTAAAGAATCTACAAAGAAGTGGGAGCCTGCTTATGAAACACACAAAATCAACGCAAAACGAGGCAGCACGCAGGCAAAATGTCAACTCCGCGTTGCATAGCTCTGTGCAGTCTTCGCCAAGCGGCGGTACCCCAGCTGACGGTCTCCCCTCAGCCCTCCCGGCAGCGATTCTGTGGATTAACCTTGTCGACGGAGCGACCCAATCGAACTCGATCGACGGCTTGAACGACCAGCGTTTGCCGCAGCTATCACTCGGTGGGAGTGGGAGTGGGAGTGGGAGTGGGTTGAAGCGGCGTAAAAAGAACCTCGGCGTGGCGAGCGCAAACCCCATAACCTCGGGTGCCGCAACGGGCACGGGAATCTTCTCCACCCATGGCATCATCTCCCCACAGTCGTCTATGACATCACCAGGCCAGGTCCTGACTATTGACAAAAACTCCCCACCCGCGTGTATCCTACGTGTGCCGCTCGATGCGCGGCGCGAGGCCTATCTTGAGGACCTGGTTCGCACCCACACACCCCTAGTGATGCGTTTCCGCCGTGTACTGAGGGCCGACGCACCGCCGGAGTGGGAAGACCACAACGCGAGCCACTTCGAGGCCTTGCTTTCCATCGATCTCACTCCGCTGGAGGAGCCTGGAGCGCGTGAGATTGTGCGGGCGGTAGCGCCCCTGGAGCCGCGCAACCAACGCCTCAGTGCCCCTCCGACCGCGACGCCCGACCAAGGCGGGTTAAAGCGTAAACCATCCGCTATGGAAGGCACATACCCGGGAGGGGGCGCCACGCAGGTCTCCGTAGAAGGCGGCGAGCGCACCAAAAAGCTCAAGACGACGGCACGCCGCGCCAAGGCCGGCGGGATCCCCGCGACGCTCTACGAGGAGCCTGACACGTCCGCCCCTCACCCTTACCTCGCCGCTGGGACCTTCGCGACGGTCTCGCTGAAGCTCTCACATACTTTAGCGCCGCTTGTCAGCGACCGCGTCCGGCCGGATGCAACGCCGCAGCGTCTCCTCATCACCCGCCAAAGCACCCGTCCTGCCAAGGCGGTCGTCGAGGAGCCTGGCCGATGCGTGGCAAACGCGCTGGACCGTATCGTCAAGAAGGTTCTCGGCGACTACCAGACCATGACCGGCGCGTGGCCCGTCCTGCCCCCGACCGCGTCGTCGGAGGAAAAGGAGGAGTGGCGGAGGCAATTTTTTGACTTCCTCCAGTCCTCCGGACAGGTCACGGCCTACAAGGCGTATCTGACGCCGCTGGTGGTGCGTCTGGTTCGCGAAAAACTCTCAGTGGTGAGCGGGGAAACCATCAGCGGTGACGGAGGAGGTGAGAAGCACCCGTCTGCGATCACACGTAAATACATCAGTCAGCTGAGCAATGAGCTCTATGTGTACCTGCTTGACTGCGTACATAGCTCGCTGAACAACGCAATGGAGCAGTACGATGCGCCGGCGCGGGCGCGGTCTGGCGAGGAAACGCAGCTCTCAGAGGGGGGGATCGTTCCCGGTGAGAGAAGCCACGGTGCCAAATTAGGTGCTGCTCCCGAGCAGTGTACAGACCCGTGGATCACGCGTGCGATGGAGGCGGAGTCCAGCGGCGACTATGGCCCCGCGGAAACTTACCACCAGGCGCGTGTAACAGCGGCCGTCCAGGGTACTCTGGAAGAGACACCGTCATCAGGCGGGTTGCTACTCTGCTGCGTGTGGACCGACGCTGCGGACTTTTACGTCCGGATTGGCGAAATCGCAAAGGCAGAGCAGTCGTATCGAGAGGCCATCGCATGCAACACGTTTTACACCCGCGCACTTCTGGCCTATGGCATGCTGCTTATGGCATATGACCGGCTAAGCGAGGCGGCCGTCTACGTGCACAGTTGTGTGGAAGTGTCCGACGCTGAATCGCTTCCACTAGTGTGGGGTTGCATCGCCTTGCTTAACAACCTTTATATGCTCCACGTACGCGAAGGAAGTTCGGGTTACGAGGCGGAGTTGGCACAATGGGAACGAGAACGCCGGTTGGCCGTGAGAAGAGCCCTACTTACTGGGCAAATGCTTTCCACGAATAACGAAGGTAGCGCCGTAGGTGTGCCAGTGTCGCAAGTCGAGATAAACGACAATGCTGCCGAGACCGCCGCTATATTTCAAAAGCAAACGAATGAACAAGAGGAGATAGTTTTCATGTATGTTGCTCGTTACGCCACGCAGCTGCAGCATTCAGAGCTGGCGAATATCTGTCTTGCTCGATGCCGTCTTGGTTGCACTTGCGTGGAGCTTCTTTACGCTCGACTTTTCGCACAAAATGGCCAACACCGGAACGTCCTAGAAACGCTTGACACGCTGGATATGAAGCAACAAGAAACGGAAGCAAAGCATATGGAGGACTGTGAAGTAGATGAAGAGAGTGGGAATTTAACCACCACAGGGGGTACAGAGGAGCAAGGAATAGTAGACGATGATGAGAAAGAGTGTTTCGCGACAAAACCGCCAATGCCTCCTCGGGTCGATCCACAGGTGCTCAATGATGAAGTACTGCTTCTTCGTGCTCAAAGCAAGGAGGCCCTTGGGCATCTGGACGAGGCAATCCACCTGTATAAAGCAGCTCTGTGTAAAACGGACCACAAAGGCCACCATCGCCATGGTGTGAAGACAGGTGTCGTCGAGGCCCCGATTGCCCGTGTTCCAGAATATCTTCTGCCAACAACCCCAAAGGCGGCGAAGCAGAAGTTGCTTGATGAATTCGACGTCGGGCACTCCCTACACTACCGCTTCAGCATAGGATATCTCCGCCTTGGTAATCTCCTCCTCGGTAGGGGTCGTTTTAAGGACGCGACGGGGGTGTTCACCCTTGGTATACAAGCCTGGCCATTGAATAGCCTTATGTGGCTTGGCACCGGAATCGGTTACTACCGAGCAGGCAATATAGTTGCCGCGGAGGTATGTCTCAACAAAAGCAACGTGTGCAACCCCCTTAACCCTCGTACATGGGCCTTTCTCACACTCCTATGCATGCGTACGAACCCGGAGCAGGTGCAAATGATGCTAGAGCAGACAGTTCATCACGGCTTATCAGATGTTGCGCTGTGGGCTGAGCTTGGATGCGAAATGCTCATCACCGTGAACAAGCCAATGTGGAGCATAAGGTGCCTTCAGCACGCACTGAATTACGTGGCAATTCCAACCCATGATATCATTCATGCAGACGAGGAGGGATTACCACCAGTTGCCCCTGTGCAGCAAGACTTGAGCAGAGGCAATGCAATAGACATGGACATCACAAGAAGCAATGAATCGATGGCGTCGATCAGAAATGTACATAGTGATGACACTTACACCTCAGGGATCATGCAGGGCCCGTCAGCGCTTCACACACGCCTGGCCAGCATCTGTTTGTATTACCTTTCCCATGCCCTTCTGCGTCTAAGCCGAATAGAAGAAGCACGACGGGCGCTCACTATGATAATTCGCGACTCGACAGATGAAGTACTCAAAGCAAAGGCAGAGATGGATTTGAAACATTGTGCATAATTCAAAGGAGAAGTAACGGATGCCTTTTAGTATCCATCTTTCCATTCACTTATGAACAACACTTTTAGAAACGTTTTACGTACTCAAATTAGATGTAATAAAATCTATTTCATTTTATAACAGATCCATGTAAAAGAATACGTTTGAGATTTTGTGAAGATATTAGGGGAAAATTTGTTGATGACTCATTTCTATTGCTTAGCGTTGCTGCTGACATTAGCATTTTGATTACCACTTTTCCTTGGGTTGTATATTTAGATAATTTAAATAGACATAAAGCAACTCTTCTAATAAGCAAAGGTCGACAGCCCAGACGTATTCTTCGGGAACCCTCCCCGCTCCGCACCCCCCTTGCCACCGCAGGAGGGGCGCCACCTCAAAAGAAATGGACCCGGGCTCGGGGGGCCGTGGAGCTTATCACCATATACATTTATTCATTTTGACAACCCGATGCGAAGGGCGTGTAGCTCAGTGGTAGAGCGTCCGTTTCGCATACGGAAGGCCTAGGGTTCGATCCCCTACTCGTCCACTTTTTTAATGCCCTTTACTTGGTATTCAGAAAATCAGGGAAAAACGGAGTCCTCAACGTATGTAGACACAATATCGTAATAATTTCAGGTATCTTGCCATTTTTGAAATCAGTTTCATTTCAACACTTCGTTACTGCATCGGCACGTATAAAAAACGTCGCACATAAGCATTCAGGCTTCAAAGTTAGAATGCAAAAACAATGTCACAGATAACATTGCTTCTGTCGCACGCTCTTGGACGCCCATTCCACTCTTGCAATTGGCTCCCATTCTTTGATTAAGAAATGCTTGTCTCCCAACGCAGCACGCATCTGTTGCATACTTAGCTTCACAAAACGCTTAAAGGCATCTTCTTCAGAAGTCGATAGTTTTGCACCAGTAGGATTCTTTGGATTAACGGAGCCAGAATCGCATGGTACCGTATTCTGAGGGATTGGGTAATTGACAAGAGACTTCTTCCTTCCTTTTTGAATTTGCTTCGCTTCCTGATGTTGCGTATCTGCGCCAGTCGCTGCAATGAGGCTGTGTGCCTCGTGTTCACGAAAAATCTTTGCAAGCTGACCATAGGCAGCTTTTTTAGAGGGGGGAAGGATTGCCCAGGCACTCTGAAAATCTGCAATTAATGTGAAAAGGGGCAAATCAACGCGATCGGGATCAGCCCACAGGCGTGAAATGGCATACACAGAAAAAGCTGTTATTTGGTTAGATGGAATCCCATACAGCAGAAACGTTTCGGGCGGCGGGGGAGCAGCAACCTGCGCGGTGGTAATCAGATCAGTATTAACCAGGTATTTAAGATTGGCATGTGTGCCCCGAAGCACGTTACGTCTAAGACGATCACGGCACTGATCCTCGATCATCATGAATTTGCGGACTTTGTTTTCGCACTTTGTGATGTTTTTCATCCAACGACGCTCCACGCTGCTCATTGTTCTCAGGAAAACTTCTACTTCCCCAACAGCCTTTTTACCGAAAGGCAACTGAAACACACGCTGCATAATATTATTTTTGTTACTCAGATGTATTTAAGTTTTAGTGGCTGAAATGTGTAAGCAAATCACGACGCTCAAATTGGAACGACTGGTAATAAAAGGACCACGTGAATTGATGAAAAATCTGCATAAGAAAAGAAACAAAAATGAAGACATGTAACACAACTGTATTCGTAAATACGTGTCGCCTCGGTAAAGCTAGATTGACGTGAACACCAACAGTGGGAATATCTTGAAGTTTGATTTAGTGAAAAGGAGACCAATTTGGATTATTAACATGATCAACAACTCGAAACTTGTCCTCTGATAAATCCAAATAAATGAATCAGAAAAGTATCAGTTATTCTGTTCTGTTAAAAGTAAGTGTGTTTACACGTTAACAATCTCCCTGCGCATTATCTTCATTCGCTGCGCTCGCGCTTCCTTATAACGCCCAGAGTACTAGTAGTCTCGCTGGGTTTTGAGGTATTCTCCCCTGTGCCCCGAAAAGTGGCGAGATTGGCGACATCCTTTTCGTTAACCCACTGTGAAGGAGACAAAAACCAGCACCGGACGGCCCCTCCACCGGTTTGTAAAGCCGATGGTATTCTAAAAGGGCGACGAACTGTGGCTTCTTTTCGAGGATAGTACTCCGTCCTGAAAGCGGCCAGCGCCCCATCGCCATGGTGACGTCGACGGAAATCGCCAAATCCGGTGCGTTCCACAAGTGAGTGCTGCTGGAAAGTGTCCGTTAGAAATGGCGACTTGTATCGGGAGACGGAGGTGGACGTGATGCTCATCAGCCCATGACCGTCGTCCTGCTCCTCATCTGCTGACGGTAATGACATGGAGTACAACAATTGACTGAGTGTATTTCGAGCACCGATACATGAGGCGTCAGCGACTGAGCTCATCCCCAGCGCAGCTGTTGAGGAAGAAAGATCCCCTGTATTGGAACCAATTGGCTCCTGACTACCCTTTGCAAACCGTAAATCCCGCTTCAACTGTTCCAGCAGATTCTTTGAAAAAGCAAGCGCGGCCGCTGTTAGCTGGTGAAAATTTTCGTTTCGGATGAGCTCCACATAGGGTTGTGCATACCTGGATGGAAGCTGCTCCATAATAAGGACGCATTGGTGTAGAATGCTTCGAAATGATTGCGCCTGTGCGCGTGTAAATACCTCGCGCATCGCAGTGTGGTCACGATTGCTAATTATCTGATCCGAAGCTACGCCTAGATCGCCCTTGACGAGGCCGCTGGGACCCATGGTTGCTTTACTAACAGAGACGGCGTTGACGTCAGCAACAATGTCAGTCCCCTTCACACTTGAACTATGCGACAAGGGCATCCCCAGCTCAACAGCCCGTGTGAGACAGAAAATGTGCTTTTCATTCAATAGCTCCGCCTGTGACCATCGCTTGAGCACCCGGAGCACCCTATCGCGTAGCATGGGACTAACTTGTGGGGAAGCATGAAAGTTAATAAATAAACTCGGAGCTAGTTTAGTAAGGAACTCCTGCCCAATAGTGATGAAGAAAGCAGTCCGCTTTGGATCTACACACAGGCTCTTTGCCTCTTTGAGTATGGCATCTAAAAAGCATATGACAGGGAAACTGAAGGCGATTCGCTCCGCTGAAAACCGCTGTGCCAGAACCAATGCAATGTGTGCAGGCGCAATGTCATCTCGCAATAGCGCCTGTATCATCGCCTCTTGGACAGCTGTGATAAGCTCTCGTGATTCCCGCTGAAGGGCATCAAGCGCTTTCTTAAACTGTTCCATTAGTAAGTTCTCAGCACCAAGGAATCCGTATGAGGAGAAAGAACAAATGAAAACAAAGAAATGCCTTCTACCTTTATAGTACTACTACAAACTGGTTTAAATGGTGATAATAAAGTGAAAAAAAAGGTATTAGAGAGCG